CAGCAGGATTTAAAGAATTCTGACTTATTTTTATTGTCAGAATTCAGTCAGAAATCTGAGTAATACTGAGAAATCCCATACTAAACTTAAATAACTGATTTTTTAAGTTTTCATTTTAAATTTTAACTTTTTTTTTTCCAGTGGCCCTAATCCTCTTCCCTAACAGTCAGAGGAGTGGTTGTTCCAAAAAGTGGGAAACTTTTCCTTTCAATAAATATTCACATCAATATGTGCAGATCGGATGTAAAGATGAAATCCATGAAGGATTCTAAGGTTCAGTTTAGTTTTTGTTTCTAACTAAAACTACAGATTAAATAATAAACATTAATGTTATGGATGATGATTAAAGGCGAGTCCAGTCGGGTCGATGCTGCTGGAAAAACAAAGCTGAGAACTTTCTGAGGTTCTGAAGAAAAGTCCACCAGTGTCGGAACGATCACTTCCTCATTGGGGCTCATTTAGGATGTGGGCGTGGCCCAGTACATCCGTGAGCCAATCAGAGCGCTTCCTGTCTGCTGAGGCTGCTGCTTGAAGGAGCCACTTCCTGCCTCCTCTCAGCTCTGCAGTCTGAGCCGCTCTCAGCACGTTTCAGAGCGCTTCCTTCCAGCTTCATGACCAAGCAAACATCTACAGACTGTTATTTATTCTAAACGTCTCAAATCTGGCACTAAATTAGTGGAACATAGTGAAATATGATGAAGGAGAAATAATGAGAGATAATCCAGTAAATACATCAAAGGGAACAAATTTACATACACACTATGCTACATAAATAATAATGTAATAAAAGTAAAAACCTGATTTAATGGAGATAAAACCAGGAAATGAATATTCTGTAGTAGTAATGATATAAAATAGCTTTTTTCACGGTTTCTGTAATTTTCATAACTATAACTTTACGCTGGCCTGCTGCGTTCTGTTTGCCGACCGCTGAAGGTCACATGACTTCACGCCATGTTCAGACCGAAGGCAGCAGGAGCAGCGAAAACGCGCCTGCTGCTTCATTTTTATTGATCCTATCAGGGCTCGATTTTCAGGAAAAGTGGAAAGTGATGTAAAGCTGGTCTGATGCACGCTGGGCGGAGCTACCCCATCCTTTCTTTGCCTGGAACAATGGCGGAGGAAATCCAGAGAGTTGTTTGGTTTATTTTAATAAATAATGCTATGTTCAAACCGCAAGAGCTGGAAGCAGCAAAGCAGCTCCTTCTGCTTCATCTCTGATCCTCATTAAGGTCAGCCGTCCAGTAAAGTGAGTCCAGATGCTTCTGCTGCTCCTGTGTTCGATGCCAGAGAGCAGCTTTGCTATATTAGCTGTGATCAGCGGGTAGAAAGTAGTTAGAATCTATGTTGAAGTGAGAAAGTCCTCCTGAAATCATGGTCTGTGCAGTCAGTTCATCCAGATGTCAGAACTTTAGCTGCACCTTGATGCTCATCAAACATTGACTTTGAATGTGAACCAGCTGCTCCTGCTGCTCCTGCAGTGTGCGCTCTGAACGTAGCATCATTCTTCTCCATCGGCACAGACTACCATCCAGATCACCGTCCATTTTTTTGGACCTGTCAAACTTCCATCCATCCATTTTCTGACATGCTTTATCCCATGCGGGGTGGTGGGGGGTGCTGGTGCCTCTATCCAGCTGTCTATGGGCGAGAGGCAGCCAGTCAAACTTAATTAAATTATCTAAATACCATTTTATTTTTTCTTCAGAAGATGTAAATCATTTGTTCTGCGTCTTTATGGATCCTTTTTATTTTTCTAAAAATGAATGTTTTTGATGAAAAGCTGCAGAGTTTTCCCTCCTCTGTCCTCCAGCTTCACGTCTCACCAGAACCTCTGGTTCTGTTGGAGTCGACGCCTTCGCCTTCGGGTGGAGCGTCCAGAATTCCCCTCTGAGGCGTATTTGTTTCCTCCACCCTGGCTGGACTTTGGACCGGTTGGGACGGTCCTGCTGCTGGAGGTGGAGGCGGAGTCAGGATCGGTCCGGCTTTATCAACCATTTATTGGACCTGTTAACACGAACCTGAAGGCCATCAGCTTTCTGGTGGACGAAGCAGCGCTCTGGATTCTGGATTTCCTAAAATCTTTCTTTCTTCCCTCAGGAAGAAGAAAAAGGAAATAAACTCCAAGCAAAGCTTCTGTTTTCAGGCTGAAACCAAACATGTGGCTTCAATGAGCCTCTGGCGCCTAAAGCAGGGAGGAGTTCTGCAGAACCCGACCAGCCGTTCCACGCAGTGAGGTCATAACTCCCGCCCTGGTGATTTCATCGCTGCAGATCCTGAGGGTGGAACTGAATTGGGTTCCTGTTTATGATGAGAACCGAACCGGAAACCGGAGCAGCAGCGTTTCATGAGGCAGCCAATGAGAAGGCAGCGTTAAGTCCTGGTTATCCTGCTGCAGGACCTGGTTTAGCTCCAAAGCTAGGCTAACTGCATGCAGCGAGGCTAAAGGCCTGGTTATCCTGCTGCAGGACCTGGTTTAGCTCCAAAGCTAGGCTAACTGCATGCAGCGAGGCTAAAGTCCCGGTTATCCTGCTGCAG